ATTTCATCCCTTTCTTTTTACCTTTTTAATGTGGCTACAAGAAATTTTTTCATTTTCTCTTTATGTCCAATCTATATCCATTGGACAGCACTGCTCTAGAATTTTCTTTCTGGTGTCCAGGAAATCCCTTTTGCTGAGGGCAGTTAGAAAAGGAGGAAACTGAGTACTTAGAAATTGAAAGAGAAGTGAAATAGCAGAGCGAGAAAGTCTGGGGAGAAATAAAGGAAACCAGGATAATTGTATGTGTGGCTCAGAACCGCGCTCCCGTCAGGAAGAGGGTTGCTGAGATGCGCTGTGGTGGGGTTCCCGCAGGGAAGGACGCGGCTGTGTAATCGACCTACATTCTGGAGAGAGAATTTAAGACAGGCACACAGCTGTGGAAAGCAGCTCAAATGAAAATTCCCCAGAATCTTTTTCACATCAAAGTTACTCTAAATCTCTGGGACTTTAATAGAAATTGAAAGGCAGAGGTTGGCAGCCCTTAACTCATAAAATAAAAAAGACAATTGGAGAATCAGCCCTGGGGGAAAGGGCTCTTCCTTCATCAACCTGATTTTATTGCATGCAACTTTCAGAGAAGGGGCTCATATCATTTTCTTGCAGGAGAAGCATAGAAAACAATTGTACAAATCTATTATTACTAACGCTGTAGAAAGACACTGATTTATTTTTTCAGTATACTGTATTTTAATGAATGTAAAATATTAAGGACTTCTGTGAAATTACTTGGGACTATTGTTGCTCCAAGATTATTATCTTTTTTTCTTTTTTTTGAACATTTTTTATTGAGTTATAGTCATTTTACAATGTTGTGTCAAATTCCAGTGTAGAGCACAATTTTTCAGTTATACATGAACATACATATATTCATTGTCACATTTTTTTTCCGCTGTGAGCTACCACAAGATCTTGCATATATTTCCCTGTGCTATATTATCTTTTAATATATGCCCCATTTTAAGATCCTTGTGGGGAGGGTATAGCCCAGTGGTAGAGCACATGCTTGCAAGCACAAGATCCTGGGTTCAATCCCCAGTACCTCCGTCAACAAGTAAATAAATAAGTAAACCTAATTACCTATCCACCCTCCGAAAAGTAAATAATAAGAAGAAGAAAAAAATTACAACTTAAAAAAAGAAAAACCTTAACCTCGTTTTCCTATAGTGAGTCATACCAAGAACCTAACCCTTCAAATGGGAAGCAACTTTTTTTCACTAGTTGTTGAGCATAATTGTATTGATTCCTTTCTGCAGAATCACAAGTTCATTGCTACACTTTTTATCAATTAGATTATAAATACATGTTCCCCGGGATGTGAGGGAAGGTCATCTTCATTACTCTGCACTGTCCCAACTCTCAAACCCTGAAGGGATGAAGCCACCCGCTGTGTTGGAATTCCCAGTTCACGTCACCAAAAGACCTCTGCCCTCTCAGTCTACAAAGCCTATGCCTTTACCACTTCCTCCTCAAATTAACAGAGCACAGAAACAACCTGGAAAAACTTCCAGAGACAGACTCCCCAACTGCT